CTGACAAATGAAACAGTACGTCAAATCAATTATAAGGCAGAAGGGAGATTGGATGAAGGGGTGATCACTGGGCTTCATTCTAATCTGACAAAGCCCCGATATACAGGATCCTTCATTTAGTAAAGACTGTGCCATGGATTTTAAATAGGATCTTTTTTGCTTTTGCAATTAAAGAACAAGCAAACACATTCTTGCTTGTTACTGGATTTTTATGATTAGAGAGGCTAAATTTCGGCGAATTCTCGAGTAAACCACGAAAAATTTGTCTTGCCCGTTATATTCCGTCATGGTTGCAGTGATAATTTCCAGCATCGGACCGTAGACTCAGTACATTTTGAGACGATTCGACAACGTCGTGGTCGGCATCATCAGTCAGTGGGAATGTACCAAATCCACGGTCCGATACTGGCCAAGGTATGCTCTTCAAGGTCTCCCTGGCAGCCTGATCAAGTTGCGAAAGCGAATTCTAACCTTTTCCATACAGCAAAAGAAGATGCTGCAACAAAAATAGAGGCCATACCATTTTGATCTTCAGTCCTTCCAGGTTTTATAGCACCAAACCACGACTCGTCAAATTGACAAATGAACTCCACCACTTAACCAACATTCTATGGTAGTCTGGTACCTTCATCTGTCACGTTTCCTCGTATCTCATTCACTCTATATCAAAAATTGTAAGTTGTTTATTCTGAACTCCTTTTGAGGTATGACCTTTTGTGTTAGTTTGGTGAGACATCAGCACATTTTCCCTCTTACTTAACTTACTCAAAAAAGCAGATCTCTAAAATAGTCCAGAATGACTCAGATAAAAATTGTGCTAAAGAGGTAGTAAGATACGAGTCTAAGGTGAAGGTGGACAAACCAGAAGAGAAAACGGGAGCGATGCTACAATCTTTAAGCGGACAGTTGGCCAAGCGATGGACAAAACTTATCTATCAGTCAAGTTGTGGCTCGGTGCTAAAAGTGACAAGGCTCATTGATGAGGCCACGATGATGCCTAACCGTCTGGGAACGTATCTTGATAATGAAGCATATTTACCCTATTTGTTTAGGGCGATAAGGGGACTTGTAGTTGGCATTTTTCGACAATTATATGAGTATACCTTACGCTACCACTGCATTTCCAATAACAGGACAGATGTGAATTCAAAGAAAGACCAGACATTTGTTCATATCATATTCTGTGGTGGGATTGTCGATGAGGCAAGGTTGTATTTGTTATAGCAATCGACTAAGTTATTTACTTTGTTGTTCTTAATTAGGTTTTAGATATTACCAGTAGATCATTTATAACCTTAGAAGACATAGTATGAATACACTTCATTTATATGATAAACTAATAGTCTCGAGAACCTACTTAAATACATAAAATAAGTAGTTTAGTCAATTGTTATAGCAAATATAACCTTGCCTCATCAAAAATTCCACCACAAAATGTGACATTGAAAAATGAAAGAACTTCCTTTAAATTTACATCTGCCCTGTGACCTAATGGCCCTCGTGGCATGTAGCGTAGTCGAGGCCATGTCGAGATTATAGGCTGCACAACCATGGTTCGAGTCATGCTGGGGGAGCTGATGAGACAAATTTAAGCAAGGTCCATCCCATCCGTGATGAGAATAGCTTTTGTAAAATTTAATGTGAACGCAAGTTATATTAAATGCATTTTTGAAAAAGTAAACAATCAACTTATCACTTAAAACGAAATAATCTGAAAACATTTCATATTTCTGCACTACTGGTAGTCTCGAAAACCAGCTTAAAAACGAAAAATATATCAAGTCCCCGACTGGATGCCACACAAAGTCGCCACAACAACATGATCAAGTTGCGAAAACGAATCCAAACCAATTTGATACAGCAAAAGTAGGTCTTCGATTCAACACATTCTGTTCTGTCAGACAGCAAAGGTTCTTCTTATCCTGATGAAGGTCCTTGCTTCAATGCCACATTGTTAAGTCTGCGGGGAAATTTGGCGAGTAGGTGCATTGAAGCCAAGTCCAGCCTGGACAGATTAACCTGAACGCATGGTCACGTTTGTGCATTTATACCGAGATTTTTGGATTTTGCATTCACAAGCATGTAGAATACACATTCCAAATAACAAAAAATACAATTTATTACTTCTAATTGGAGTAGACTTCGAGATGTGATTTCAAAGAGGCATAACTTGTCTTGATTGTTACGTCTTCCCTTGCAAACGCATCAAGTGAACATTAAGCCAAGAAGACTATCCGGCTCTTACATCTCACATTCTATATTTACTCATAAATATTAAACCGTCTAGTTATTGATATCCATCTATAGCTAGAGCCAGATAATCTTCTGGACTCAGCGTAAACTTGAAACTTTTTTATAAATGAGTTCCAGCTCTTACGATGCCCGTCAAATGGCATGATGCACAGGAGTTTGGCCCATCTTCACCCGAAACAGGAGAGGATGCCGCGTGGAATGCATCAACTTGAAGGCTACAGAAAAAAGAAAAGCATCCGTCGTATTCCGATGAGAGCGACCTACGGATCCCGTTATTATGTCCATTCATACAAAATGCAAGTCTTCACAACAATGGCTACGCTAGCACACAATATTTTAATCTTTTTGATACAAGACTATTCGGCTCAAATGGGCCAGAATGATGCAAATCCGACAATTCTGGAGGAGATGCCCAAAAGTTCCAGAGGACAAGACGACAAACAAGAAGATCACTTAGCAATGAATTATGTTGTTGAGCCTACTTTCGTTTCTTTTTAAAGCGTGCGGAAAAGGGAAATATTGTTCAATTTTACGAGAAAACGACGGCAACTCCTTCAGGGTATGCTGTCGAATAGGCTGACTGGGGTATATAAGTAGATGCGATCCTTAGGACCTCCTTCGTTGTAAGCATGCTCAGTTGTCTTCTGTTAGGCAAACTGAAAACCACCATCCGAGATGCAATGCATACCCATGACCAGTTCAAGCTTGCGCATAGCCTAGAAAACTAATCAACTTAGCCTTAACCTCTGCATAAACTCTGAAAGATTCAACTCTAGCGTGGCATGGAATTATTTTGTTCGGAAGATCTTAAATCGTCAACGCTTAATCACGTTTGTGTGAGTTTGAGAAGAGAGTGTAACATTTGTCATAGGTAGTCAAGGCTTGATGACCTATTTTTGTTAAATTTGACCCGGGTCACTACATAACTACGATTGCATAATATCTGACACCAGTTTGGTGGAGTTGTCGAGATTTATGGCTAATTTCATATGCATAAAATGCGTGACTTTAATCAGGACCATCTCTCTCTCTCTCCTTTAGCAAAAGAAGTGCTACTACTAAAATTCCCATGCTCCTCCTGCACGCACACTTTCAACAGGAATCAAAGTAGAGCCTATGCAATGGGTGATGAATAAATATACTTTGGTAATATCCATTTACATAAAGTTAACAGAAATTATTAAAAAAATATGTAGATATATGAAAAAACACATGGAAACAGCACTAGGAAGCATTAAGAAACTAGTAAATTAATGAAATCGAACAAAATTAAATTGGCAACAAATTAAAAAACCGATGCAATACAATGTGGAGTTCTATCTTACCCCATCTCGTTCTGTAGATCAAGGTTGAGGAAGCTGGCGTCACGTCCGGCCATAATAGAAGACGCATCCGCAGAAGGTAGTCGTCCTGAAAGGAAAAATAAAAATATGAAATAATTCTCTGGAATAGAGATTGAACCAATAGTTTGAAATTGTTCTAAACCCTCGGGGGAAATTTTAATAAGATAGAATAGTTCAATCAGAGGACATTTGTTCATTGTGCAGAAATTGGCTCTGAAAATACACCAAAGGATTGTAGTCAGGAGAATTTTAGTTCTCAGAAGAGAATGTAGAAGAGTGCATTTAGAAAAGTTGAATTTTGCGGACTATATTGTTTCATGAGTTTTGAAATTACTTCCGTTGCGTATGAAAGTGCACGAAGAAGATATTCGGAAGTCGATCCTACCAGAAGACAAGGTCAAATTCCTCCTGAAATAATCTTGTTAAAGCAGTTTCCAAGGTAATCTTCTTCGAGTCC